TGAATTTATTACTTTTTTACCGCTTTCGTGTAAGAAAGATTAGAATTATTTTAAATCCTAAAAAATCAAGTACTTTTCAAGTACCCTATGGCAGAATTTAGGACTTTCCAGGGCCCTGATTTTTTTCAACTAAATTCAAGGACTTTCAAGTACTGTGGGAACCCTGTTCAAGGTCTAAGGCAGTGATTTCCAACTGGCGGCCAGCAAACTAAAATATATTAGTTGTCATATTTTTGCGGACAATTTTCGTAAAAAATCTATATGGGCTTAAAATACTTTTCTCGTTAATAAAAACCTAATTTTTTCGTTGCTGTAAAATTTATCATACCAACGGTGCAAAAAAAATATTTATGTTTTGTATCCAAGAAAATATTTATTCAAATACAAAAATAATCGTGTATGTTGATCTTTTTTACTTCATTCTTTTTTTGTATTTTGTGAATATAATTTAGCATGTGTGGATAAATATAATTTAGAAATTTTCTCGAAGAAATTCTCCGATTTAACTTTTTGAAACCACTCATTCTGGACGAAAATATTTACACACACATTTGTAAATTTTAAATATCTATTCTCTGGTGGTTGCAGCAGACAAACCTCAGTTTTGTCATTGAACATTTTGTGTGCTACTATGTAAGTTTTAATACCAACCTTTTTAAAGTTTTATATCTTAACAATTAGATATCTGTTGCACATTAATTGTTTAATACAAGGATGGCCATTAAAGTTATTGTAGCCCGAATTTTTTAATATGCAATTAAATATTTTTAAAAATCTACTTGCTATTTTAATTTGTAATTTAATACTTTTGTTTTGCACAACTTTGGTAAAAATCTGACAGTAATATTTAATGTTCTTTCAAACATAAGAGTCCTACGTAAAATTTTGATAAAGTTGCGGCCCGCCATTTGATTTGTGTTTTAATTGTGACCCCTGGTCTAAGGCACCCTCAGTACCAATAATTGAATAGTTATGGAAGCATATGGATGATTTTTTACGTGGTTGAATTATCGGCCTCGTGGAATGTGAACGTACTCAGACGAAAGTATCCGAGGAACTTTGAATTGCACAAACTTGTCTAGGCTTCGACACCAAGATGATGGAAGTTTGAATAGACCTTTACACTACAGGTCAGCTGAATGAAGACCGATCTTTGAAAGTGGCCACCAAAAGCAGACGGAACACAGCATCCGACTTGTTTAGGGAAGCCTTTGGCGCAGAATTTAATAACAGACAGGGTATTATAACATTTAAGCAAAACATAAAACTCGTATAATTTTCGATCGAACAAATAATTTACTGAACGCCTGTTTTTATTTTATATTAAATTGAACTTATAAAAGTTTCTAAATGACGGGTGTAGAATAAATTAACGCTATGAAATGAAGACATTTGTTATTAGTGTACTTCAGGGTTCCATTCTTAATCACCTGGTGAATGATTTTAAGCGTAATTTATGAGATCTGACATATCTTAAAATTTATTTTTTGATACCTGGTGAGAAATTGTAATGTATTACCAGTGTTTAACAGATAAATCAAATAGCGGTTTTACTGTTTTTAACATTTTACTGATTATCTCCAAACCACCAAAAGATAAACTCTTAATAATAACATATTTGTAATCGAGAAAAACGAGTGAATCATGAGAAGCGAAGATAATTTTAATCAGACTGGTTGAAAATTGAATTTATTGAGCAAACGACTAAAAAAACACTAGTAAAAATTTGGTTATCCATGGCCAATTCGCTCCTTTTCAACGTAAATCACCTTATACTGAAAATGTTTTTCGATAAATTATGAAAGAGGCCAGGATAACCTGGTTGGTAGGTTATAGGGCCCCTGCCGGTCGAAGACTCCCCGCGTAGTAAATGGCGACTGATGCACGTTAAATATCGAGTCCTCCATGTTTCCATAACAAATCAATACCTCTGGGGGTACTGATCCAGGAGTTTCCTTGTCTTCTGGATTGTTTCAAAATGACAAGGCTACGGAGCTGGACATTGGTAGTTGTAAACCCAAAATTGGGTCGGCTGTTAAACGATGGATATGAAAAAAAATATGTAAGAATAAAAAAAAAAGTTTTTTTTTTGCTTTTTAAATAAAAACTGTAAGAAATTTATTTAGCAATCTTTGTTAAATAAAATTCTGTTTCAACTTGCTACACTTATAAACCCAAATAAAATAAGTATCAATGCAATTCCCCATTTTGTTTTTTGTTCAAAAGGTGTCAACTGTACGCAAGTTTGCCCAAATTAAAATTCCGTACATAAGTTCATCAGTCATTTCTGCTTGATTATAAAGGAATACGTGAATTTATAATTATCTATAAGGAATACGTGAATTTATAATTATCTTCATAAAAATAACTATTATTTTGAATAGGGTGTCAAATATAAATGATTCGGGTTATGAAATTCCTTTACTGGGTCCTTTAATGGAAATCCCCCAAAGCATGGGCCAGTGAACTGTCCACAATTAGCGTTTTAAAACAAAATAATCCAAGAGACATATATGGAAATTGAACTTTATTGCTATGAAAACAATTTAAGTACATAAAACATTCAACAACAATGGTATAACTACAAATAGATTCCATCACAACTTTATCATTCAGTAAAAGATGAAAGCCTCTTGCTTCCAAACAACTATTTACGACTATTGTATACAAATTCTTAGAAGAGGCAAAATTGTCACATAGCAATAGCAATAAGGCACACTTAGCACCATAAAGTGTATGCTTAAAAAGCACTTTTTTTTTAAACGAGATTCATTAGCAATCATGACCTTTATTTAAATTAATCTTAGGTAAAAATATAAATGCAAACATTTTTAACTTGGGTGACTTAAACAACACACTCTTATTTTCTTTTTACTTATAAAGTATTTGATACAAACTAATATACAGGGATGCCAAAGTGTTGCAATACTTTAACGAAGTCAACAGATTACTTTTTTTTACTAGTTACTAAAGAATACGTTATTTCCCTTACTTTACATTTCTAAGTATTATTGAATTATTAAATATTTAATTAAAATTCTAAAGGTAGTTTTTTTTAAAAAAAATTAATTGTTCTAAGTTAAATACATAAAAGTAAGGATTTTGAAGTAACTTAAAAACTTTGAGGAAATTTTTTTTCTTTAGTTTTAATCTAAACTGATATTTTGAAATATACTATTTAAAAAAAAAATTATAATATCACAATAAAAAAGATGTTTCAAATGGCAAATTGTACCAAAATAAAACATATTCAATACGAGAATCCTAGTCAAAATATGAGAGCACCATGTAAAGCATCCCTGTTTATTTGATTGTTTTTTTTTAAAAATATAATATTAAAGCCATTTTGTTCAGTCATAATTCAAACATAGTATTTGAAGGCACTCTATTCAAATATAAAGATTTGAAAGAAGAAAAAAATCATTAAACAGAATGGAATTAAAAAATATAGGATGGATGAGTGGAAGGAAGATCTGTTTTAAAATAAAAGATATTTTATTGTTCCACTTCTAATAGACAACTCAAAGTAACTGCAGACAAGAATATATAAAAATTTAATTATGGCCAACAAAAAACAAAATGAATAATAGAGCATTATGATTATTTTGGCACTGACAAATGAAAAAAAAAAATAATGATATAAATGTATCAAAACATCACCACAACCACAAATACAAAACTTTTTACCTCAGAAAATAAACACATTAAGTACAAAACATGACAATCTGAGATTCTAAAACTCTTCAGCAGAAAAAAAAAGAAACCTTAAATAATGGAGATAATAAATATCCTAAGTGAAAATTAAAAGAATTGGGTTAAAAATATATATAAAGAGGAAAATCAATTTAATTGAGAAAAAAAATCTAAAATATGAAAATGATAAAAAAAAAAATCCAATTGCTCCAAAGAGGATAATCATTTAATAAAGATTATTAATTACTTATTTTTCATATTAATGATAAATGAACTGTTTAGGGAAAATTTGACTGAAAAAAAAAAAAACTATAATGAGACAAGGGGGGAAAAAAAAACATCCTCCATGCTATGGATGGAAACACAAAGTGCAAATTAGTTCACAATGTGAGAAACTAAAAATTTTTTGAAAGACTTTTATCCATGAAAAAAGCTGCATAACTTTATGACAAATAACATGAAACAAGATAAAATGAGGCATTCTTCTGTTGTCTTGAATAATATAAATTTAATTATAAATCATTTACAGATAACAAGCCTGCTACTCTATTATTTGAAATGCTTCTTCTTGGCTAAACAGGAAAACTGAAGAAATAATTACCAGAAAAAGATAGAAATTAAATAGAATAGCAAAAGGAATATAATTTTTTAACTGAAAGAATTAAAGTTAAAAAAAAAAAATTTCAGAAGCTCAGACCTGAAATATGTATGTAAATATCAGTTTAACAACACTATTTAGTGTTTAATGGTGTGTAAAATCAGTAAATTAAAATATTTTGGACAGGTAGAGCTTGTGAACTGTATTTAAAATTGAATCTCTTGTTAAATGTAAACAACTAACAAATTAAGAAACAAGAATATCTTATTCATTTAAAATAAACTAATTTGTGCAGAAAAAAAAACTTTTTTAATGTTTGTATTAATGTATTTAATGTATAAAAAATAAAATTTTTTTTAAAGGAGGTTTAAATTTAAACTGGAAAGAAAACAATTAAAAACAAAACTTTAGGTTCTATGATTCAGGAAGCATAAAATAAAAGCAATATTTTGTATTTGCTTCATCACTGATAAGCAAACATAAAAAACAAGTAATAAATTTCTGCAATAGAATAGAATTAACAGCATTTATGAAGATGCTCCTTCAATCAAATGAACTTGGAGGAAGAAAAAAAAGAAAAAGTTAAGTAGACTCTTCAAACAGCCTCAGTATTGCACTAAACTGACAGATTTACTTCGAGAAATGAGTGGAGCGACACATCAGAGTCAAAAACAACAAATATTATACACATTTCAACAAGGGGGGGAAAAATAATTAAGTATATATAGCTGAAGATCTCGAATTAAGCTACTTTACAAAATAAAATGTACAAATATTAAGTAGTAAATGCACTTAATGTGTGACCTAAGTACAGTTAAAGAGCTGCTCATTTAAAATGCAGTTTCTAACCCACACAACTTAAAAAATATCAGTCACAATGATAAAAATAACATTTGATCAGCACTCAATGTAAGAACATAGACAGTATAAAAATTCACAATATCCTTCCAGCATAATAACACAAGTGGTTTCACAATAAATTTTTTAATTAAGTAGATTCAATTGCAAATGTCAGATTTTGTTAGCATTCCATTTAATTGTTTACAAATCCATCTTGATTCACACTTTTCAATAATCAAATTAATTTATTATTGGGAACAGCATTTCTTTTGCTTAGACACAAAATAATAATACTGGTGTTTGGGTTTATGTGGAATGTGATATTTAAAAAAAAAAATTCTAATTCTACTTTATAATGGAAAATAGGGGAGAGTATTTTAATGATATATTTTCTCTACACCATATCAACAAATGTAGATTTCACTTTTAAATTTAAAACCTATTCTTACTGTTGTAGCCTTATCATGTAAAAATGCAATTAAATGCTAGCTTTAAAACAAGGATGCTATCTAGTTTTGTTAATTACCTTTTCCATAATTCAAGAATAAACCATATTAAAACAGGGTATAAATTACTTTATGTCGGCGAGTTGCGTAAAATTTAAAAGCAAATTTACAAAATCCTTAAACATACATACCAAAACTAATTTTAGGATAGTGTCAGTTAGCTATGTCAATAAAGAAAGATTATTTATAGAGAAAATGTTCAACATTTCAGCAACTGAGAATGAACTTATTTTGTGTAGGAATATTCTCAATATACATAAATGTCATGCAAAATAAAACAGTAAACAGAATAATGTTGTGCAAAGGGTAAAGAAGATAATTGACACAAAAGCAGCATTAGATAGTTAAAGTTAAAATTTGCTTTTTTTTTAATGACACGTCAGATCACCTGATGCGATATCAAAACTGCACAGGAGGAAGTGTTAGTCGATTATCCTCACAAGTCAACAGAGAAGGGAAGAAAGTGCACTACAAAAATAGATCTTTCCAGAACGACCCTGTGTGCTGGTCATCGTGAGTTGTATTTTCACAGGTGGGTGGGTTAGTACTCTTCAGGTGTCGGTTGTGGAGCTGACAGGTTAAAATGCGAAGAAAAAAAAAAAGAGGTTGTTAGTATCAACTATGAGAGGATATATATTTAAAAAAAAAAAATGTTATTCAGCTAAGCATTTTTACTTTTAATTTCTAACTGCACTGGTGTTATTTGAATGCCTAAGAGTGAAGTGTTAATACAATATTACAATCTTATTAGTTTAAGAGAGTGCAACAGCAAAGGGAAAAAAAAATATAATTTTATAATACAAGATGCGTACTCAAATGAAATGGAAAAAAAAACTGATTAAGAAGCTATTTTAACTCTGTTACTGGTCCATTACCTTTTTACAAAATTAAAATTAGTATTTTACAACTTCACTAACCGAAGAATAACAAGAAAAATAAAGTGTTTTGTTTATCTTTTGGATCAATAAACATAGATTAAATTATATTGTAATGTCTCCAACAAAAATTGATAATGAATGAAAGTGGAAAATAATCATTACCATTTCCTAATTTTGGAGAATGTAACCTTAGAAAAAGGAATAGCAAATCTAAATTCTGGTGACAATTATGACTTTATTCAAGAATTTATGCAACAAGATGAAAATTAAAAATGGTATTCCTAATCATTTGTCTCGAGAAACCTGCGACATATTTTGCACTAATTAAATAAAGTGCAATTAAATTTAACCTTAAGTTCAGATGTTAGTTATATTATTGATTGTGATAGTTTTAGAAGACATAAAACTAGGCATAAAAATAAATTGTCCTATATAAATTTCCCAGGTTTTTCTTTTTAGCGCAATTAAGATAAAAATTACAAAATGAAGAAACTGTTCATTTTATTTGTCAAGATGTTCGTGCTAATAGCATTGGACAACTTACCTTTTTATTTCCACGAGTGATTAAACCTAAATATAAATACTCATTCATGGCACTTAAAACATTTTGATAAAAAGCGCCAATATAGCACGTAAAAATATTCCTAGCAAAATGAATATTTTTTTAAAGCAACAAATGGCAAAATTAAGGAGCAAATAAGAGCTGAAATTCTGTCGCTCAGAAATATATTTATTTTAAAATGACATTAACTAACCTTTTGTCGCTTAAGTAAGAGAGCCAGAACGCTGGTAAGGATGTTCCCGCAAACCTAAATTTCTCCTCTGTTTAGCCGCACCTGCATTGTAGGTAAGACATTAGAATACATAAAAGTAGCAATTCAACAGAAAGAATAGTGGACCAAATTCATTTATAAAGAAATAATAGTAGATACAGTTATTTCTTTTCAGACCATTCCTAGTTATCTTTCTTAAAAAGAAAAAGGCTATATGTAATACTTTAGTAAATTTAAATTTTCTTAATGGTATTAAAATTTCAAAAAATTATTAAAAGTATTTTAAGAATAAAATAAATATTTAAATGATTTGCTTCCCTGATATTATTTACTAATTTTTAATTACTTCAAAAAATTTTATAAAGAAATACTATAGTATAAAAAATCTGATAAATTAATGAATTTCCAATGGGCAATTCAATAAGTTTACTATGTTCCTAATAGGTAATGGAAAGTCATTCTATTTAAACAATAAATTACAAGCGTCCAATAAAATAAAAGTTTCGCATTAATATATTATAAAAAATAAATATTTTAAAAATGTCCAGTTAAATAAAAATAAAGAGAAAAAAAAAGAGGAAAATGAAAAGTAAAAAGAATAACTGTCAATTCATAATAATCCAAAAGGAATTGTGAATGTAAAATTTAAAATATAGAAGTGCATGATGTAAATTTAAAACCTATAAGCTTAGATTTGACTATGTTAGAAATGATCACAAAATGACAAGATGGAATGAGAAATAAAAAAAATTAAAAAAAAAAATCATTAAACGCTGAAATGCGCACACCAGTAAAAAGATACACAGCAATTTTTATAAGTGATGTTTCAAAAAAATTAAAAAATATTTACATATCTTTAAATAATCCATATATACAGCAAAGTCATACACAGAAAATTTATAAAGCTCATGATATACAAAAATTACGTAAAAAAAAAAGAAAAGAAATTGCAGTCATTTCATAACCATAAATACATAACTATATACATTTGACTACCATTAGACTTGTGTGCTTTTGGCCCCAAATTTAGATTTAAAAAAATGGAAATACACGTTTTCATACTTGCAAAAGCCAGCACCCTAACTATTAATTGTAAGATATTAAAACCATCACCTAACGGAAGAAGAAAAAAAATTCAATTTAAAATAACTATAATTTGATAACTAGTTTTAAAACAGTTTCATGGTTCCCTATTAAAACTTGAAAAATCAAAAAACATGTCAAAATAATTTTTGACTAACAACTGATAGAGCAAAGTGTAGACACTTCAGCCAATTTAACATATTCAATTCATTATAGAGATAATGAATAAATTCATAACGATTTATCCAATTATCTCAATTTATCAAAGACACAATCCAAATTTTTATTTTGACTTTATACTTGCCTAACAGAATTCGCTTTGTTCAACAGTTTATCCATATTACTCTAATTAAAACCACAACTACTAAAATAGTTATTTCTTTTAATTTATATATCTGACTAATAACAAAAAGAGCAAATGCGCTCCAATTTTATCTCACCGGACTTGTTAAATAAACTTACAATAAAACTTTTAGTAAACATACAATATAAATATTTAGATATAAGAAACAATGACCAGCATATATTATACCTGAAATCTAAATTTTTTTTAATTTGTAAAATGCAATAAATCTCATAGTGAGAAATGCTCTACAACAAGCACCTCAGATTGGGATTAAAAAATAACATTATAAACCAATTTTTAGTCAATTAACTATATGTACATTTTTCCCTGAGTCGTACAGCACACTTTCCGATAAGCCTTGCTCAATAAATCTCAAACATGCAATAAAAATAATAACTAAAATACAAAATCTAAACCAAAATAGAAGGTGGGAGGTAAATCGGAAAGACAATATTTCGCTCTTAACACATCCAATAAAAAAAAGAAAAGAAAAAAAATGAATAAATAGTAACAGTAAAAATTCAATAAATTAGAAAAAAAAAAAAAAAACTGCAAAAATTTTGTTTATGTATCACAGAACTGAAATATAAGACTGAGCAGCATTTTTGAAACAAGCAACAAAAATGCATTATCCAATTAATCACACACAAACGTCAACAAAATTTGACAGTATCATGCAGCCATAAATGGCAGGATAAATAACTACAAGGAATGGATAAAGAAGGGTGGAAAAGCATTTAACGTCCAAACAACGCACCAGCAGATGAGTGGTCAGTATGTGGTGGGTATTCTGCCAGTAGAGGAGACGTGAGGGCGGCATAATGTTGATAATCTCCGTAAGTGGCATACAAGAGCCCTGCATCAGCGGGAGAAATGAGAGGAGGTGGTGCATTTCCATTCAATAAAGTGTGAGTCGTTGGAACAGGTATCCTAGAGGAGAGAATTAACGGAGCCCCGAGAGGAGTACCGGTGGTACGAAGAGAGTTGGAGATGGTCATTGGGGGTGCCAACAGTCGAGTTGTCTCTGGCTCCGTGAGAAACATGTAAATATCTGAAATAAACAGACAGGAAATGAAAGAAAGCATTTATAATAATATAAAAAAATACAGAAAACAATGATCAAAATTCATTTATCCAAAATTAATGAGTTTAACTCTAACAGGAAAAAAAAAGAAAAGAAGATTAGATTAGAATCTTTCAAAGTATTTTTGTTGCCATAGGGGAAAAAAAAAAACTGTTGGAATATTTGACAGCTGACATTTCTGCAACTGTATTTGTTTAATTAAGCCTATTAGTCACAACCATTATTCTAAGTAGAATATTAGCTGTAACTTTTTATTCAATTAATATACAGTAATCAATCGAATCTATTTAGTCTTATGGAAAATATGATGTCTGAGAGCAATAATATTTCATAAATAATTAATATTATACTAATATTGGCAAAAGAACATTTCATAAAAACTAGGAATCTTAGACAACAATTGATAACAAAACTGTATGTACATTAATATATGCCTTTTAAACTACAGAAGAGATTTATTCCTGCTCAATGTGATTACTTTGAACTGCAATGTTTGTGACTTGCTTCTGACAAATATTTTTTAACCCCGTATATCGATTTCAATATTGTAATTTTTTTAGTGTCACTTGAGATTCGGCAGTAATAATTCAAATTATTATCTATCGGCTCTTCCTCAGCTTCTCATAAGAAAAAATATGTCATGAGAAAACAATAAAGAAATATTAACTTAGAATAAATTTTCGCTTAAAAAATAGATATAATTATTTACATAAAAATATATAGTAATACAATGGCGTTAAATTCTAGATAGTTTACTTTTTCAGCTACTAGCTATCATTCTTTTGGACATTTATAGATACTTTAAAAAATTGTGAAGTTTTTTACATCTGATGTTATTTTGAATTTAACCCCTTAACTGCCGCGGGCGTATATATACGTCTCGGCCAGACGATGTGTTAACTGCCACAGGCGTATATATATACGCTTTCCCAAAGTATGATGCTTTGCATTGCGCTGCTATAAATAGAACTACACCCCCTACTTCAGAATGCAGTAAAATGACCTTGAAAGTGTTTGCTTTGCGAATGTATTACTAATTTTGGAGGAGGGGGAAAAGGATGTTATGGAAAAGTGATATCGTATTAATCCCTTGTGTGTATTTATTTGAGTAAGGTCGGGTTTATTCTTTTTTCGCTTTCGTTTCCAGTATGTACTTGGTGCTTTTTAATTCTTCCATCAACGTCTTCAAGGAAAAATGAATCGCGAAAATGTGCTATTTGTTCCAGAAAAAAAATTCTTCATTAATCCCGCTAACAGTGCGATGAATGTGATGTTGGTTTATATATCCAACCAAGTTTCAGAATTTATCATACAACAGCTAAGTTTTAACATCTTTTATATTGTATTTTTATTATTTAATTTAAATTTTGTATTTTCTTTTTTTCCTTTTTCTTGTCTTGTAAAAGTAAACTGTTTTTAAATTGCAAAGAGTGCATCATGTCCCTCCACCAAAACACCATGTAAGAAAGCGCACTTGAGCGAAAAACGGTGGCACTGGGGAGTGAATCACGTTAATTTTACTCGGCAGTTATGGGGTTAAGTTACCACTTTTTGATGTGTTCAATTTCATTGTAAATCTGTGTAATTTTCGTGTATAGTTTTTATAAAGCCTTTTCTGCGTATTTTAATTAATTTTATTTTTACAAATTCAGTTATTTTGAATATATTACGGCAATATACTAATTTGAGTAATCAACCACTGAATCCACAAAAAAGTGAATATGAGGATATATTTTTTAAATATCTTTGAAATTTTTAATATTAAAAATAAAAATTTATACTATTTCATATTTTAATGAAAATAAAAATTTTGTCATTTATTTTCTTTATTAATTTATAAAATGACACTGCGTGGAAAGACAGTGACAAAATTCTTTCTGTTTTATGGTATCTTATGGTTGAACAAGCAATTTAGTAAGTTTCAAAATTTATATTAATCTGACAACTATAAGTGAGAGTTTTTGCTTGCAGAAAAGTGTTTACTAATCTTTGTTACAAAAGGTATTTAATTTTATGCCTAATCATTGTCTCTTCTGCAACAGAAAGTTATATTCATATATCAACATAAAAATTTCTTTGAGTGTAAGTTTTGATACTTAGAATTCAAATATAGTTTAAGAAAGAAAAAAAAATTAAATATTTTAATTAGGGTGGGGGAGTATTGAGGCGTAACTACCACTACGAAAATTAAACATCTATTCGCTGGTATATAAGACATGCTAACTTGATTTAATCTTAAGGTACCTTTTGATAGATGAAGGGTTGGTATTGCCGATAACTCCTCCCCCCACATAGGTGACTTGCGGACATGATTTGAACACGCCGATCCTGACAGAAATGCCCACTTCGATCTGGTAACGCCTACTTCGATGGATTGTCCACATTGAACAGTTGACTTGCTACTTGTGACTGCGACATTATCCACCTCCTCGCGTTGTTGCTGCTCAGTCTAGTCTCGATCATACACAACGTCAGTCTGCATAGACTCGACTGCTAAAGGCAACACAGGAGGGACTACACCCATGAAGTTAATACACCTCTCACATTCAGCACTCAAAAATCCGGTGATCTTAATTCAGCTCTCCCGGTCTTTCACAAGTACAGCAACTAGTGGTATCCGTTTATCGAATTCTATCCCTAATAAAATTCTGATGGGGGAGTATTGTGGCGTAACTACCACTACGAAAATGAAACAACAATTCGCTGGTATATAAGACATGCTAACTTGATTCAATCACGAGGTACCTTTTGATAGAAGAAGGTTGGCATTGTCGATAAATCCGGTAACAATAACTGTCGATAACATATAATAATCCTTTCATTTCTCGTTTGGAAGGAATAGCTCAGAACGATCGTGAAATCTGCAGAAAAAGGTACTAGAAAGCCCTTGTACATGTAGGATATCCACAAAAGCAAGTAGGAAAAAAAGAAAAAAAAGCAGTTAAAAAGGGAAAAACAATTACAGCCATAAAAGGAGAGAAAATTATTATATTTTGATATTCATTAATATTAAAAATCTGCTTGTATCATTATTTCATTGAACATACTAGTCCTCTACTATTATTTACACAAACAAGAATTGAGAAAGGATTTAGTATTACTTTTCAAAATCTGATTTCAAATTTTTTTTTAGACATTCTATATTTTACACATATAACTTGATAAATGGTTGTTCTTTGTATAAACTTCTAGAATAAATTATAATATTAATCCAATAAACTTTTTTTTATTTTGCTTCTTCCTTGCTGTCAAAATTTTTTGCCTATTATAGCCTTAAAAAATAAAATTTGTAAAGTAATGAAAACTACCAGAGAGATAAAAAGGCTTCTAAAATAGTGCACAGTCATATTTCTTCAAATAAATGGAAACATAATTAAATATTTCAAATTACATATTTTAAAACAGTTTCAGAATTTTATAAAATTAAAAATTTTTTAATTTTCTGACTTTTCTAGAATTTGCTCATAAGGAGAAGGTGGATATAGGCTCAATCAATCATTAAAAATCTCACATTAAGAAAATTTTCATGTCTTCATTTAAATTCACATCAAAGTTAAGAACTAGAAAGACGTTAAAATGCAGATTTTTTTCTCGTGTCATATTTAGAGAATTATTGTGACTGAATTTTAATTTTATCCCACTCAAAAATTGGTCTTTTTCCAATACTCATGACATAGTGCATCTATAATAAAATATTGATTTTGTAAAACAATCAGCTTTTGCAATTAACAGAAAAACTCAATAGATTTTAAAAGAAAAAACAAAAACATACTATTATTTTTTCCAGTGCTATCTCTGTATGTACCATTAATAATAGCTAGTTCCATCAGTTGTCGCTTTTTTAATTCATCTTCACCCTCAGTCTAAAAATAAAAATTCAGTTTAGAAAGAAATAAAATGAGTGACAATGAATTTATCACAAAAGATGAGACATTAAAGATAATGAGCATCAATAGGGTAATTTATCCATTCTACTCCAAAAAAAAGTACCATTTAACTAAATCAAGTTCAGATACAGTTCGTGTATTTGACGTTTTATGCTAATGCTGTTCATTACAGTTGAACACAATTATAGTGTTTTGACTGCAGACACTGTAAGAAACAATGGTTTACTATTTCCAAATTCTTTGAAAAATTATCGCAAAAGTGAGTTTCCTTTAAAAACTACTTATCGAAACTCTAAATAATGTGACCCTTCCTGTAACAAATTTTAAATACTTATCTTTTTGATTTCCATACGGCTGGTTATGATTTAAATCTAAATTTAAAAAAATATATATATTGCTTTTAGTCACATTTTTATAAAGTATCATTCGAAAGCTCATGCATCAGAATAAATATTAAGGCATAAAATCAGTAATATATTGAAAATATTAGCAACAAAAAGTTTTTTTTAAAAAAATTAAAGCTAACGAATGACCTACTCATTAACGATCAGATTGAATTCGGAAATTCGATTGGAAAACGAGAATTCCACCCTCTCTGAAATAAGTTAGCCCCTGAATAATAAAAATCTTTCTTCAATTGTTTTAAAACTAATACGATAGCATAGATAGTGCTTAAAACTGAATGCAATATCAAACATTTAAGCAAAAGATAATAAATATATTTAGAAAATAATTGTTGCATTTAAATCTTCTGACTGCTTTGCATAAGGAAAACCACAGTTTGAAGTGTTTTCAGTTTTGCTTGTTTTATACAGAGAAACTGCACATCCATAGCTGTCAACCTTAAGAATAAAAAATTAGGAACACTATATGCAACAAAATTATACGCACCAATTACAAGAGTAAGACAAAAATTTAACTATTAAATAATAACATTAATAAACATATGTTTAAAACAAAACTACAAACACTACCTTTTGTGGGAAATTTATAATATTGATATTTTATAATTAGGAATACCAGTATAATAATTTAAAAACAACCATTACCTATTAATATATAATTATTCTTCCCCAAATTATAAAACACAGGTAAATAATAATCTACATCATAAACAAATATTTCTGATGCAAGTGTTTAAATACTACAATACATTTTCTTAAAAAATAATAATAATTGTTTAAGATTCAATTTAGTGAAATGATCAGCAATAGCTATTGGAATAGTATTTTCCAATAAAAAGCTACTAAAAATTACTTCGGCACAATAATCACAGAAACGTGCTGGCGGTGATCAGAACAAGAGACTGGTTTAAAAGCAAATGTAAAGCAATTTTAAGAAAATTCTGATTTTTATAAAAATATCAGATTTTCAGATTTGATTAAAAATTAAGAACAAATCCGAAAAATTCAGTTGGCAGCTATGCATATCTCACAAAAGCATTCAATGGTTAAAAATCACATTCAGAAACTGAAAAACATACACACCGGAATAAGAAGCTTCTTGATTTCTTCAACAGCTCTCTGTAGCTTTACAGCTGCTCTGTTGTTTGTGTCCTCAACTGTGATTAGAACATGGAGTTCATCGTTTAAGTGTTCCCAGTTTGGTTTCCCCCTATTTTGTTCTTCCTAAAAATTAGAACAAGGGATATTTTTTTAAAAAAAAAAGAAGCAAGACAATATTTTGTAGTAATATGTTAAAAATTTAAAAATAAGAAACCACTTACAGAGTGAGCACATCTGGGAGCAATTAGGAAAACAAACATTATTAATGTAAACACTAACTTTAAAATTGAAATTACAATTACCTCCTGATTATCTGTGGGATTTGATGATGCAACAGTTAAAAGGGGACAAAATGGTGACCCCTTAAAGCATTTCACTACTCTAAAACATCTCTTTCTTTACTATTAGCATTTTCTAAACTATGTCATCTTAAAAGAAATTTTAATTAAAAATCAATCAATCAAAAAAAAAAANAAAAAAAAAAAAAAAAAAAAAAAAAAAAAAAAAAAAAAAAAAAAAAAAAAAAAGTCTTGGACACCAATCATGAGCTTTGGGTTAAAAAAAACTTATGGGGCAAAATGGAGAAGATAGAAAATGCAGTGAAACAGAAGAAAATAGATATTCTTGTCAATGAAATACCAAAACTAATTATTATGCATGTATATGCCCAATAGATAATCAGGAGTTTTACTGCAGAAGAAATGTTTACCTTCTTTTTGTCTCTCATAGACCCTTTTCCTCTGACCATTATTTTGCAGCCTGTTTCCTGTTCCAGCTGCTTTGCAGTCATACCACGGGGACCGAGAATCCGTCCAACAAAGTTGTACTGAAAAGAAAAGGATTTATCATTAGCAACAGTAGTTTTATAAAAAAGAATAGATTCTGCTTTACGTGAACCCATCACTTGAGCAAGAAAATTCCAATCACCAGCATCTAATATTTAATTGTGTGCATGCATTAAAAGGACATTATACTGAATCCTTCTTGGCAAATTCTCTTTCACTTCCATAAATAATTTAAAATTTAAAGAACAAAAAAAGTTTACGTAAACCAGGGGTCCCCAACCTATTTGTACCTAAGAGCAAATACCAGAATATAGGTTGAATGGCGGGCACCATTTATTTTTTCAAGATGAAATTATAGTTGGTAGACATAAGTAATAATACAAACTACATATAATGCACAAAAAAATGTATTGAAAAAATTTTAACATATGAATATAATTGGTATTAATATTACTGCGTAAAATAAACGATTACTAAATTGCTTTCAAAACATATGAAGTATAAAAATTATTTGCAAAATACAGTTAATGTGGTCTTTGGCATTGCATTTCGCTGGCCAGCGCTTCAAAATTGAGAGAATATGATGAAATTCCTGCTCGCAAGCAATCGTCAAGGTGTTCACCTGAAAGTCAGGATCTATATATTGATTTCATGATATTCATTGTCAAAAACAATGATTCGAACAAGTATATGGAACCAAGAAACAACTTTATTTAATGTGCTGCTCTTTTTAAGAATGAAATTTATTCCTTCAACTATAATCCAGAATTTCTCATCTGATATAATAGTTTTGAGGATAATGTCATTCTGAAGATCCACAATTTCTATCTCCATTTCTTCTCGCCTTACTTGAAGAAATTCTGAAATGTATGTTGTTATTACGGCTACATTTATTTGGTTGATAAAGGATTAACAAAAAAGGTTATCAAAGGCACGGTGATATTAAATTGTTGAAAGCGCTTTTCAAATTGATCTCTAAGCAATTGGAGGTTGATGACAAATGTTGATAAGTCAATTTCACTGTAACCTATAATTTTTTTCATGTTTGGAAAATGCACAAGAGATTTTATTTTCAAATGTGATATCCACAAAACTAGCTTAGCTCTAAACAAGTTTATAGCCTCTATCATTTTTGCTGTAAGTTTGTCCTTTCCCTGCAGCTCCAAGTTTAAATTATTTAGATTTTCCATTATGCCCGTTAAGAAAGACAAATCTGCTAGCCAAAGAGAATCTCTTAGTTCTAAAAATGATTGATTTTTGGCAAGATAATTTTTATTTCTTCAATTAAATGTAGAAATTTATCAAGTACTTTGCCTTTACTGATCCAGCGTATTTCAGTATGTATTTGCAGAGCATTTAATGGGAAAATGGAAAACTGAAATATTTTATAGTTGGGCACAAGCAGCGGGTGCACCTAGACCGATCGATGGGCGTCATGGTGCTCACGGGCATAGGATTGGGGACCCCTGACGTAAACCATCATGAAGTTTTACATACAGAAAGTTTCTTCTGCAGTATTGAGCCCTTTGAAGGGATTTTGGTAGAACTTATCATTTAAAAGTTCTTACACAAACAGAAAACGAGCTAGTGAGTTTTAATAAGCAAAGAAACTCTTACGTATAATCATTTTCATAATTAGGATTATGCTTCAGTGGCAATATTATTCAGATTATTAAGGCGTAATATAACGTGCTTGTATTAATAAATTTTATGTCATTTCAATTCAATTCGTCTTGTTTTTAGATAAATCATCCATTGGAAGTTCACCATTCATGGAGGAAAAAATATACTGTTTGTTTCTAACGCCACTTGCCAATATCCGCAAGTCTGTTGGGTAAAATTAAGTGAATCTAAGCAAAGTGCGTGTTTCTTGCTTTTCAGTGGCGCCATCTATGGCACAAGAATAAGATTCCCAGCCCATTTATTGGGTGGACCTATTCTTACATCCATTCACTCATCCACAGATTGTAATGTTGACCGGAACCAGGGAACGATCAATCTCCGATTCAGTACCCCCAGAGGTAAAATTTTTTATGGGAACATGGAGGACAGATTTAACATGCACCAGTCACCATTTACTACACGAGAGTCCTTCGCTTGGCAGGGATCAAACTCATGACTTCTTAGACATGGGCCCCACGCCCTACAAACCAGACTATCCCGGCCCAAAACAATGTACTATAAGAAATTACTGGCACAGATGATGGTTCCAATGTCAAGAAACTGACAAAGACTATTCCGGACATTTTAATACCACACATAAAAATTGATGTAACATAATTGGTTAACAGAGCTCTAGGCAGAAAAAAGGGCAGGGTGCAAAAGTTTAAAAAAAGGTCATTATTATTCTAAAAAGGCAATTTCTTTCTAAGAGCTTTACACATTCTATTAAAAAACATCACCAATTTTTTTTTTTTTTTTTACTTAACTAAAAGTACCAAAGCAATCATATTAATTACTAATTTTTATTAATAAATTAACATAGATCGAGTTAATGAGCTAATTAGCTTAGTAATTTATTTAAAATGCATGCATATATTAATAAAATAATAAATGTATGTTTTTAAGTGTCTGTAGTTATAATTTAATAATTAAAATGATTAATAATAATTATGATTTAACGATAGTGAAGTAACTGCAAACTTTCAAAGACAAGTGCACTATTTTTCCTTTCCCATATAAATCTATGTATTGACAGCTATGACAAACTAAATAAAAAGAGTTGAAAATAAAGAAGGGTTGAAGAAAGAAAAGGCAAAAAGGGTATGGAGTCTATTACATCAGGGCACTAATTTACTTCAGGGGCAACAGGGTGGATTCTTTTGACTAAAAGGGCAGCAGGGTGCTGCACCCTGTTTACCCTGCCTAGAATGAGCTCTGTGGTTAATGCAATTCATGCAAGCTAACAGTCAAGTTAAAAAAAATTTTGATAGAAGATTTTACACTTAACTGGTAAGGTAAGTACACTGATGCGACATTCGTGATTAAAATGCAGTGCCAGACATTTTACCAGACACCACCTAACCCTGTTTTTTCAGGGCCACAGCAAGAACGTCAAGTAATTTTGACCTTTGTCAGATAAGCGAGACAGCATCTGAGTTGGAACCCTTCATTCTAAACTATCACATCACATAACATCAAAGCTGTGGATTCAGTAGCAGAACTAGATTTTCACTCTGGACTTCTCAGAGAACTTCGCTCTGACTTTAATTTATAGGTCTTAATATTTTCACTGAATCCTCAGATTGTATTAATATTATTACTAAGTAAATATTTATTTCAATTTATATATGTACAATTAGAATTATACTATTTAAAATTATACTATTCAAAATTACATTTTGTTTACAACAAATCAAAGAAATTAACTTGAATTGTATAAATGCATTAGAAAAATAGCTAGATACAAATATCTCACAAGCACATTCGTAAATCAATGAATCTCGTATAACAAAAATATTCTTTGAGAATATTCTAAAGATAGGAAACTGTAACAAATGGAGCATAGAGTACATTTACATACCTTTTTAACTTTTCAAATGCACTAAAAACATCTGTCTTTGGAATGTGTGTACTTTTTCAATAGTTCAATCTAGCATAAACTCAAAAATGTTTAAATGTGATAAATTAAAATAGTGATACGTTGTATTATAATTTTCCCCTAATTCATGAGTAATATTTTTTCCAATATACTAATTATAAATATTTGTTTAAATAATTTTCTAAGACAGAAAACTTACAAATTTAAACCTAATTTATTTTAAACCTACACATCAATAAATTTATGTAAACATGGTACCTTTCAATTTAGTTGATTAGTACAAGTTTCACCCTCAAAATTGAAATAAACTATATTTTTTTGCAAAAAGAAAAAACCTTTGCAAAACACAAAAATGACACCATTTTTGGTAATAAAGACCTTGCGACAATAACCCATGAAAATAAGAAAGAACAATACAGAGTGAACTCACATTATAAGAGTTTCCTTATACCAATAATGGCACATTTAAAAAGGAAGAAAAAAATTATTTCTAAAATTATTATAATTTGTGACGGAAATTTCAAATTAAAGCAGCAAAGTTGAATTTTTTGAAGAAAAAGAAAAAAAAAAGAAAAGGGAAAAGTACACATTGGCAAAACATTTTTTTATTTATAAACTTTTCTTCAATACAAAATATTTCTTATTACAACTTTCAATCAGTTTAAGAAACAAAGATTGTTAACCATTTATTAGTGAATTAAAATGGCAAGTATCAGAACCAAAGGTTTTTTACAGTCTTCACTTCACTAAAACAAGGTTATACTTTGCTCTTTTTCCTCTAACCAGAAATTAATTCTTTTTTTTTTTTTAATCACAATAATTATTCCCATAACTACAAAAATTAAAATGTTGTAGATCAGTTTCTTCAAAAATAAATAAATAAATAAATAAATAAAAATAAATAATAATCAATAAATAAAAAAATATTAGCAATTTAGGTTGGTAAATTTTTGACAATTGACTGTTTCATCTGGTATTAACTGTCATGGTCTTATCCTGTCATTTTAAAAGCCCCTTTTAACAAGTGTCAAAACACTTTAATTTTACTTAATCTAAAAAATATGCCCTCATTTTAACGTAAAATCATCTCATAGTTATTACCTGTAATATAAACCAAATAGTTATAACATTGCTTCTTAAAACATTAAGATTACCATTAGAAAAACCAATTCGTTTCAATCATCCTGGCTATAATTTTTAGATGTAACATATAATATAAATCATAATGATAGTATATAACGAAAGTACCGTGCATGACTTAGTACCTAATCAAATGCCCCCGATGTCAAAAAAAGAAACTTAGACAGTTTATGTCTGATTGACCATTTTTGACGTGTCATGTAAAAAATCAAACCCCGATAGCAATACACAATTCGCTATGAGCAATAGTGATTTCGTTTCACTGGAACACTATATTCTCACCTTAAGTTCACATTGTACATAATATTTTTTGAAAATAAATTCAATAATATTGATACAAACATATACTTATTCTTGAATGAAATCCTTAATTCTAACAGTTTTAAAGGACACCCCCTCCCCTCACCATATGGTTGAAGATCACGAGAACTATAAAATATAACAGAAGAAAAGGAATCTCACTCAATAACTATTAGAGACTTTCATTACCCAGAGATTCAAATTAAATCATTGTGGGTGGAGTATACCAACCACAGTTCACAACAAATAATATTTGATACATAAAAGATTTAGTAAAATTAGACAACGGAGAAAATTTAATGCAAAAAAATAGTAACTGGCTTCATGTGGAGTGCACAGAGGGAGATGAAAGGGGCTAGCAGCTAAAAAGGGCAATCCATCTGCTACACAGAATTCTAAATTGTTAAATCCATTCATTTTCTTTTTTGTTCAGAAATCATATTTTAAATTATTTGGCGAAAAGTGTAATATCAGGAATCAAAAGGAATTCAGGAATAGATGATATAAACGAAAATTTTTAGGTCGTTACAATTTAAATACGTTTTACGACTCGCATGACATAAAGTAACAGGAACAGTGTTTTGTTAGAAATAGTTTTGAAATCATAGAATTTTATATAGTTCTCTTACGTTTCTATAAAAACTGAATTCGAAATACGAATAAATTAATTTTAATTAATTGATGTTTTGTTTCGTCTTCTACTTTCCCCAGGCGAGTTTGCCCAGAACATATGAACTGGCATGGTTATCTGAAATTTTACTATCCATTTGAAATTATAACTAGAATTCAAACTCTAGTTGAATACATTTTATTTTATTTATTTATTTTTGCAGTCTTCAGCATTTTAACCAGGGTCGGTATTTCGAGCAGAAGATATCTATTTCACTAAAATTCAAAAGAAGCTACGCAAAATTGAAGTAACTAAAAAAAGACTCATAAAACTAATTAACAATAAGTATTATAAGAATATTTTAAATTTAAACAAATTATATTTAGTAACAGAAAATTTAAAACTTCTTCACCTTTACTTTTCTGTTCGTTAAAAGGAGCTTTTTGATTTACATATGTTTTTTTTTTCAATTTCAAAGGAAAATTTTAAAACTTTTATATTATTTGTGAGTCAGTTTGAGTATTCATACTTAATACTTGATTATAAAAATTAGTATTCTATTTGCTAGTTCAGTAGTATTCATAAAATTTGGTTACATTATTTTTAAGGTTCTTTATAGAATTATAAAATTAGGTATTACTATACTCAACATGAAATATTCAAAAATGAGTAGATTTTAATTATTTTTTAAATCAAATTCATAAAAACAATTTTCCAGTAGCTTCATAGTTTAATATTTATTTAAACATAATGTAAGAAACAGTTGAAAAATTAAAACTATTATTTAAACTTGTTATAAGCAAAATTTGAATTTTTTTTTTTTTTATGAAAAATAGTTTCTTCCCTCCAGGCTTACAATCTGATTTGTAAGGATGATTTTTTCATACTCAATGAAAGCTAATTTAAATGACACATCAAAAGATTTAGTAGCAGGAGGAGAGAGAGAGCGAGAGAAGAAGCAAACTTACATCAGGATGGTCTTTGACTGGCACATAGACCTTTTCAGAGCGAGATATGACGGGACCATCAGGTTCTGGCAGGATCAAAGGATCTTTCTTGCAACCATTTACTTGAAACAAATTATTTCGCACTTTGTTGATTTCTGGTTAATAAAGAGTTAATTCAATACATTAGTACGGTTAGAAAGGGCATTTGAATCAAGCAAAAGTAAGGACACATGCACAACAAAATATTTTGACACACACACATCCCACTTTTTGTGGTTGCACTTAATGGCCCAACTACAAGGGTAGATTTTAGTCACTACTAGTCTGTGGACCTTTGACTAAAAGATATTGGCAGTCCAGACACATTTTCACAGGTCCGTTTATAGGCAGGGGTAATTGTGAGCCCAAGTCAAAATTTCGGAAAATTTCATGAGTTAAAAAAAAAAAAAAAAAAAACAGTTTAAATTGAAAAATTAGAAAAAAATTTAAACAAGTTTTTTTCTTCCTTTTTCTCAATATTTCTTAGTTTACTTAAAATATATTTAAAATTTTACACATACCAATACCATTTTCGCATACCTATGATGATATGGAGAAGTAATTAAAATTTACAAACATGTCTTTCTTGATTTTATGATTATAACTGATACTGATATATTTACTGATAAAAAATTAATATAAATCATGAATAGAAGCTTATAAAGTATCTCTCTGGCTCTCCCTGACAAACAAATAAAATAAACTGTGTTTTTAAGTTCTTTTCAGTGTTTTTAAGTTTAAGTTTCTAGGTTTTAAATTTGATTTCCGGAAACTTCTGTGATCAATGATTTTCTGAAACGTCTGGACCTTCGATCTCCGGAAACTTCTGGATCACTGTTAGCAAAAATTCCGGAAATCAGGATTTTTTCCAGAGCACAATCAGCCCTGTATAGGAGTGATTTTCACGAAATATGACAATTTAGTGTAACTGCCATAGAAATTTAATATCATACAATAAAATTATAAATTTTTTTAAAAAAATATTATAATTAACTTTTTGGAATGATTTTACACTAGTTTCAATAATTATATATATATATATATTTAAAAATGTACGTGGTGTTTCACAATGTCATTATCCTGTCATGTCACAAGAAATATTTTTAATAATTACTCGCTTTAGAACTGAATATACTTTTCTATCTACGATTTTTCTTACTTCTAAACACTGTTAATGCATTTCTTTAGTCTATGCACAGGAGTCATTTCATAAATATTTTGTATAAATAAGTTTTACAGTCAATTTATAAGTCACACGAAAATGTTATTTTCTTGGTTACTTATTTTCATTTTTCTAAAATCTACACAAATGAAGTTAATGTTAATCATTTTTGTTTATATGTAGGATTGACAACCATTGCAGTAGGAACAGAGAAAAATAAATTTAACGAGATTTTAAAAAGCAAGTAGATTTTTATGCTCTTAATCTTGCCAGCTCTAAATCATTAGTAACATATTATTAAAAATAAATAAATAAATAAACCAAGAAAGTATATGCTTTCCTGGCACTTGAATGAAAAGGAATAATTATAAACTTCATAATATTTGTAAACTACACTGTTCACAATAAGGTATTAATTAGGGTTAGTGAATAAAGTTTTTTGTTTTTTTAAATAAATAATCTGAAGATTTAAAATCCCCCCCACAAAGTGTCAAATTTTTTTTTAAGAACTATCAATATGTCTATTAGATTTGTTTTATCTGTTGAAATGGTGAATTCAATTGAAAAATTACAACACAAATAATGTACAATGATCACATTTATAGGATGAAATATTACTTTTGTAGTAATAAAAAGGAACAAAATATTGCACTGAAAAACAAAAACAGCACACAATCTTTTCGCATTGATAGATAATTCGGGGGACAACTGATAATTATTTAATGGCAGTCTGAGTGCAATTTCAGTGATCCTGAACTGATGGACCATCTTTAAAGCCCTGAGCTAAGTTATTAAGAATGAGGAGTATTTAACAAACATTTTCAGGGTTTTTGAATAAAAAATTCGAAATTATCTAGAGCAATAATTCTAAAAATAAAAAGAACTTCAACAACACAATAATCAAGAAAACATGAGAATGATCTCAGAAGAAAGCAATCGAAAACTTCAGAATAATTAATTTTCGTCCACAGCACAACAGAGAAAATTTTGTCAGGCTTGCAATATACATTTTTCATATTGATGCACAAAACATTAAAGGAGAAATTTTAATTTTTAGAGAAGTTTGATGGCCTATCTGATGAGTCTGAAAGAAATTTTGTTTTTCATCAAAAGTTCCTTATTGTTGTTTTAAAGTAATAAACGGCATGTTTTGGAGGATATATTTATAATTTGATCAGTTCCTAGTATTAGCTGATTTGAAAATCTTTCAGGGAACACAAAATCTCAATCAAAAGCAATCTATATACCCTGTTTTACCTTGTATTTGGTTTTCTATTCTAAAATTTAGGTAGCAGATTTTTTTTTTATTTTTAAATAATAAGCATTGTATACAAAGTGCACATTTTATTATTATTAATTTTCTGATTAATTCTACTTTTTCCCTTTAACAATTGACCGTTATTACTACAGATTACCAGAGTTTTCAACACCTCAATGTTTTAAATGACATTATAAAGTACAGCGGTTTTCGAATCACGCATTTAAGCAATCACTTTTTGACCCATTCTTAAAAGCGATGATTTCACGGTGATCCCTGAGGCAGAATTTTTTCAAGCTAAGATACTTTTAATAATAACAAATAAGCATGTTACTAAAGAAACAAGTTGTGGTGACAAAAATACATCTATATACACAATTATATTTTATATGAATGTTTTTTTTTTTAATTGAACATATAATATTTATTTTATTTTAATATTATGGGCGAAACTCAAGCCTTTGGTAAGGGGAAAAAACACGCTAATTATATTCTTTTTCGCATTTAGCAAATCATCAGATAAATCCGTAACAGCAAGTACTGAAATAAAAAATAAAAAGATAGACGGCGAACTCACACGAATCGGATGTTTCAAAAAGGGGATACTAAATATCGTATTAAAGCAGGGGTCTGTCCAGACATTTTGTGAAAGGTCCGTTTTTGTAAAATTGTGAAAAAATTACTCGTAATTTGTGAATATAAAATGAACGTTGAGTCACATGTAAATATTAAAATGTCAATCTTATCCTCTCTATCACTCCTCAAACCACGTACTGTTACTACGAGACCGTTTTACAACGATGAACAATTTCACCTTATTCGCGATTCATTTATTAGTAACCTTCCATTTGCTCCTTTCATGGGACAAAAATAATGAGTACTATAGTTTGTCTATAGAAATAACTCCCCTCGCCAGGAAGTCTGCTGCTATGGAAACAAGAAATAGCGCATTTGAAAGAGGGGAGCTTCCCTTTCTCTCGCCGACCCGAATCAAAACCTGTCTTAAAATATGACACCCACACTTGAAATAGTTAAACCTCGTAACCATAGTCACTGCCACTACTCCAGACGAATGGCGAGCAACTAATAATAAAAGAAAAACGAGAAGTTAAAATTTGAAATTAATATGTATGAAAATAAACCAATCGCGTCACAATAAACGAAAATTGCGGTGACCCGAAACGGATTTTCAACAAAATAGAACAATTGAAATTTTTCGTCAGTCCATTTGGGCCCCCCGATTCTATACTAAAGCCGAAGATACTGCCCTAGAATTTTAAATAGTTATTAAATGTTTATTATTTTAATTGCTGTTGAGTGAATACAGTTTCACATATTGAATTGAATGTAAATATAACTTATTAAAAAGGAATATAAGACGGATATCTTTAACATAAAGATAATGTTACAGGATTACTAATTAATATAACAAAAGCCTCAACTATATAATCTTTATAAAACAGATTAATTTTATGCAAGTACAGTATTAAGAAATGAGTTTGACCGAAAAAATTATTTCATGTCTCATTTTTCTTAAATACATTATTGTAATTCAAAGTTGGAACTAGATGGTTAAACCAACAGATTTCTTTTTAATTCTTAACAAAAATTTTTATATAAATAATTTTCAAATTTGGAAAAATGTAATTTTCTCACAATTTTGAGTTCAATTGCTAAAGTGAATTGGCACCACTTTAAACAAACATAAAATAAATAGTATGTAATTTTAAAATGTTTACATATCATTGTGCTCTAAAATGACAGAGCACTATGAGACGGCAACTTTTAAACTGGTTTTGTCTCATGTGTATTGAAAGATGTTTTAATAACTGCTAAATGTAACAATTCATACATTTATGCTTTAAAACTTAATTATTTTAATTAGCTTCTTGGTTTATTTTATTATTTAAAGATTGCAACTGGTTAGCATCGCATCTTCTCTTTTTTAAATTAGGCATTGTTTAAAAATGCTTTATTTTATATGCATTGAGTTTTTGAGGTGATCAAAATGAGTTTAAATTTGTTAAAATGCATGCATATCTTAAAAATGCTTCAATTTATGAACGTGAAGTTTTTTTGTTGTCGTTTGATTTTAAACAGTATGACAGTTGGGTCGATCGTTTTAACAGTAGTTACTACTAGGGATTTCTACATGGTTTATAAAATCTTTATTTTTTCAATACAATATTACTTCGTCCGGCGAACTTCAAATTGCTTATTTAAAGAATCACTTCTTTACTCACTCTATAGACGATTTTAACCGTCAACTAGTTAAAATCTTTATTTCTCAATGCTACAATGTCATGAATTTCGAATAATTACTTCTTGTCGATAAGAATGCAAATCTAAGGTTTGGTTAAGATGGTTTTCAAAATCACGAGTTCTTTTCCGATTTAGTACTACAACTATTACGTTTCGAATGGTGCATTTGAAGAACCACTTAAAAACGTGCTCTTCTGGAAAGAAAAAAAAAATGTCATCTCAAATCCGCGATTTTCTCAAAATACGAGAGCTTAGCGCATTTTGAAACTGAAAATGCGTCATTTTTTTCCTTTTCTTTCCCAAGCTGTAGTGAAATACAACAAACATTCGGATTTCGCTTTCGTGATATCCAAAAAGCTTTTCCTAAGGTTGCACAGGAATCTTACTATTTTAATTAGCAAAATGTGCTGCACTTTTATAAAGGAGAAGAATTT